GGAAAGACAGGTATTTTGGGTGGGGGTCTCGCTTCTCGTGAATCTCTGCCCCCGCTCCTACTTAGCTAGGATTATAGGCGTATGTTGCCATACTAGGTCTACTTAAGTTGGCCTGGGATCTGTACCTTGGCAGGGGCTACATTGTTTTTTAACAGAATTGAAATATTGTAGTACTTTTATTTTGCAGCTACTTTTGTTTTATCTCAGAGTATATACATTTTCTCAATCACTACATATACTTTTTAATAGTTGGAAGTATTCCATCACATGGGCATATCAAAATCACGTAAGCAATCCCTTACTTCTGAGAGACTGATGAGTTTCTTTCTTTCTAAATTATTTTTTTCTTTCTTCCATGAGCAAAGAGATAAGTGATAAAGAACAGAAAACTAGGCACTACTAACAGGGTCTTGGGGCCATGATCCATCCTCAGCTTCAGCCAGCTCAAGATCTTGGGCATACATGTGCCCGCTGTGTTCAGAGAAGTCTCTGGATTCAAGCCTAGAACCTTTCCTGTGGGTCAGATGTCTCACAGAGAGTTACATTACTGTTGTTTCACCATCCAGCCTCCTGAAACATTTCTGATTCTGTGATAAGAAACCACACCGGTGGGACCAGCAGTTAGCGTAATGGCTATGTCACTGGACTCCCACATAGTCGACAGCGGTTCGAGTCCTGGACCTGGCGGCTTAAACTCATGCCAGGCGTGTGTGCTTGCGTGCCCAGGATCCCAAGAGGAGAATGGAGGAGAAGGGATTGTGGCGTGGCCATCCCCCCGGGGGGGTGATTTCTCACTTTCTGTCTCTCTGTCTCTTTCTGTCTTTCTGGCAAGCACATGCGCCCTATAGCAAAACTGTCTGGCGAGCGCACATGCCATATAGCAAAAAAAAAAAAAACAAACAAACAAAAAACAAACAAAAAAAACCCACACACACACACTGGGAGGAACATCCCTACATTTAAGAACATTCCCAGAAACAAATTTTTGCCTGTAGCTCTGATTATTTTGTTAGGGTCATGTTTCTCACATCCATGCACTGCCATTACTATTGTATTTTGGCATAATTGAATAACATCTGTATTGTACTTACCATTTCTCTTTTTTTTTTTTTTTGAGAGGTTTTTGCACGCTCACAAGAAAGACAGAGGCAGAGAGACAAAGTGAGAAATCACTCCCCCAGGGGGGGATGGCCACGCCGCAATCCCTTCTCCTCCACTGTCCTCTCGGGATCTTGGACATGCACGCACATGCGCCTGGCATGAGTTTAAGTCACCGGGTCCAGGACTTGGACCACGGTCAACTACATGGGAGT